TGACGTCCATCTGATTTTTGTGCGCCACGTACGTGCACTACACTTCGTGCTTTTTCGTGCGTGAACGAGCCCACGCCCCTTCCGCTCGAAAAAGTGTCCACCTCCACCGCGAGATGCTTCAAAAGCGTCCAAGGCCGGACGAGGTCAAGCTATCCCCCAAAGATTCACGCAAGCGATACACAGACATCGTATTTTTAATATTTTTCACAAAACGAATCTCCGAAGCTATCGAGGATTAGGTCGGGTTCGATTCTGCCTGTAACATTATCAATTTCTGTATAAAAGCAAGTAGAAAAAAGCGTGTAAGGTCAGACGCGTTGGCGTCGCTAGTCAAGCGATATCGCTCGAGCTAAATTTCCAGGTAAAATCGTAAAATACATAATGCATGCTGCAAGTGTGTGGATGTGTGTGGCAAATTCTACCAACAACCATTGAGCCGCTCATACCTGTCTAATAATGCACTACTCGCTCGACGCCCAGGCAAGTATACGCAAGCCAGAGGCTCAACGGCAAAAGCGCCACTGCACACACTGCCGCGCTACAACATAGTCAAGTCGATATATCTATACAATGTATACTGTTGCAGAACAGCAGCAAAGTTAAGCTTTTCTCGCAACGTAATCTCAAAGTCGCTACCTTATATACAGTACATAAACTCGAAACGTGAACGACGCGAGTGGAGAGAGAGAAAAAAGGAAAAACTAATAGAAACGTCAAGACGAAAATAATAGTGAAACGTAAAAGTCAAAGTGGCGCGTGCGTGGAATAGCGAATATAGAGAAAAAGCTCGTGCTATACGTATATAAAGGGCAAGAGTTGCATATATATACGAAGTCGGGCAAATTAATAGGGACGAGTCGCGCGACACCTCGAGCAAATTGAATCAACGCCTACAGCAGTACACCGCCTTGGCAGCGCGAGATTATTTTTCCGCGTCGAATGAAAAGTGCGATGGTGCGATATAAGCAATAGTAGCGATTCGATGATAACACTACGACGGCGGAGCTGCGTAAATAATTCATCTCCCAAATGGATCAGCTCTCGCGTAAAAGCTCAGGACGGGTAGTCAGAAAAAAAAGGAGGAATTTACGATATTCTCGCTGCCGAGTATAAAAGTAGTATAGCCAGGGATGCACTCGGGCAGTGATAGTATACGCGTTGCAATGTATACCATAATACGGACGACATCGTGTGATTTTTCAAGCGTGAGAGTTTCGAGCTCTCTCGCAGCGCAGATAAGATACGCCACGCGTGTTTTAGAGCTCGCCCCTCAGCGTCCATGTAGTGTTTGTTATGTATACGTGAACTATATAGCAAGAGACACAGCTAGAAAATATATGTGCTGCAGACTCGCACTCACGCGCGAACGACTACCGAAGTTACCAACGACTCGTTGCTGATGGTCAACAAGGAGCGAATGAGCCGCCCGAGGGCGACTGTAATATACGTGTGCAGTTCACGTATAGCGCGCTATATAGTAATACACGCGCAACTACTCCATGTATATGCACTTGTAGTTAGCTGCACTCGAGTTTGCAGGGATTGCGTGCAGTTACTGCTGCTGCTGCTGCTGCTGCTGCTGTTGCTGTTGTCTCGATCGACCAGCGGCTGAATGTCGTTTGAGGCGGAGGTCAGGTGCCACCGACTAAAAGTTAATGTCTCACCTGTGGGCAACTATACCACTACTACTACCATCTACGTATACAGTAGCTCGTGAGCGTATATATATATAGAAGCTGAATTTATATATAAGACGGAGCTGCCGAGGAAATCCGAGCAAATGGCCGGAAGAGTCGCTGGCTTGCGCCTGCATAAGTGTCACCTGCTGCTGTCCTTTTATGTGTACGGCCCGTAGCACGCGTTACGTGTATATAATGCATAACGTATTATGTACACGTCTCGCTCGACTAGATCGTGCCATTGGCTGGCGAGCAATCGCCCACGCGACAAACTGCCCGCTACCGATACATTTATACACGAGCTCGTATTTACACCGAGTAATATGCAAATCCTTTATATCGCCTCGTCTGGCCGCGCACGAGGTCTGTCCCTGTTTATCCGGAGCTTTTTTCAATTTTTGCCGCTTCTGCGTTTGCGCGCTCCCACGACGCTACGAGATTTTATGCGAGGTTTTATGTGCGCGTGAGGCACTAAAAATTGATTTTCCTTGCAAATTTCCGAGATCGATGTCCAGCCCAACGGGCGTACTAAAAGCTCTTTCATGGCTTTCGTTGACCATGTTCGACGAACTTGAGAAAGCCGAGTCCTACGTAGCCTATGTATTAATGAGTATACACGCGCGATTTAGCCTTAAGATTGTACACTATCACGTTCGTACAGCACATACACACACATACACACGGACAAATTGGGCTACAATCCGACTGAACAGTACACGCGTGGATCGTATATAGGATGAAAGGATTGCCTACAGTGCCCTGCCGTGGGAATTAAATAACGACTATAAATTTAACCACGCACGCGATTAAAAGCCAAGAGCTTTTCCACTTCTGATTTAATTGCCGGACCGTGAAACTCTATACGCGATATGCGGGCCGCGCAACTTCGTATACTCTTCACGTGTATCTCTTTGTTGTGTTGCATGCTACCTCGCAATATATATACACGTCCACTATCTCGAACTTTCCTTTTTCCTACATTTGAAAAAAAAACGAATCACTTTATGCATTCGAAACTTGCGCGTCAACCCAGAAATTTTTACCTGGAGTTGTGCACGTATTGATTCAAGAATGCACGAAAAAACTTTTGAAGCATTTTTTGGTTATTCATTATGAAAAGAGCAATTATTTGTTTACAATTATACATTTTTTTCAATGGGTTTCGTGCTCTTAAGAAAAGTTTTTTAAATTTCTTTTTAGGATAAAATCGTTTATCAAACAATGTTCATCTTTAATATACATATAACTAGAGCCTTAATCTCACTCGCTATGCTCGTTTGGTATTTTATACTTTTTTTGAGAAATTTCTGATTTTGATTTAAAAGAAAAAAAAGTACTATAATAGTTCTATATATTATTAATGCTGAGCGAAACGAAGTCGCCTTCTTTCAGCTTAGTGATTTTTATCGTTTTTTAATACTGCGGGCGCGAAACACGGATTTCTAACCTTAAAGTAGCAAAAAACCCTAGTTTCTCGCAAGCATAGTTAAAAAATATCATTTGCAACTAGTCCGCGAGAAAGTTAACTCACCCGGAAGTCTTTGCACCCTCATTCCTCAATCCACATTCACTTGCATTAATTTTTAACGCATATTGCATATTTTCCTACAACTTTAAATAAATTGACGTAATTTGGCAGAAAAATTGTTTAATTACATGAATTCCCAATCGGGTACCCAGGGCCCTGTTTTTTTGGCAGAAAATTTCGCGGTATTTTTTTGGCGTAAATTTGTGACAAGAAAAATTTTGTGAAAAATTTTCGTGCTTTTTGACAATTATTTTTAAATTAAAATTTTCTTCCGACAAATTTTGAAAAGATTTTCGCAAAACTTGAAAATTTTTTCCCGCCAAATTTTCAATTGATTTTCAAGTTGGTGGGTAATTTTTTTTGAATTTGGGCGGGAAAATAATTTTGAAAATTTGGCGGAAAAAAATTGAATTTTGGCAGAAAAGTGTTTTTGAATTTTTTCGAAAAAAAAAAACTGTAATATTTGGCGGTTTTTTGTAGCAAAACGAGGGATTATGCACAAGCCGAAAGGGAATTTTTAGCTCGTACAATTTTTAAATATTAAAGTATATTTTGTAACAAGGGTGCAAAGCAGTGGACTCATCCGGGAGTTGTTTTCACCTAAGCGTAGCGAGAACAAAGTGTATTCATATTGTTTGGAAATGTCAATACTTTAAATAATGTTTTTAGTTTTTACAGTCAAGTTTATGAGAAAGTGTTATAACGTGATATACAGATTAAAGTTGAACGAAAAGTAATTCAATTTTTATCACAGCGTGCGGGAAGTATGTGTTTCCCGAGCAGTATTGTAATAACAATACTTCTCGCAATTACATACTTCCCGCAACTAGTGATAAAAAATAGTATACGTCACTCGTGCGCGTGGTGCTTCTCGCACGAATCTCAGTTTGTTGCCCGAGCGCAGCGAGGACGTTTCGGACGTTTCAGAGAACGTAATGTACTATATGAACTCTGTAATGGCATACTTAAGAAAGCGAATAGGGTTTCAAATTCTTCAAAAATTATGTTTGTGATTGCTTTTAATCATAGTTGTTATATCATCAAGTCAGACTTCTATATAGTTGAAAGTATATCTATTTGTTGTATAGTTTTAATCCAGCTATTTGGCATTAGCTATAATTAATAATGCATTCAATTGTGGTTTATGAAGTGGCTTCATAACACATGGCATTATGAAACAAAATAAAAATCAGATGTTCTTATAGATCAAAATAATTGTTAAAAGCGAATAGAGTTCATGAAAGTTATGTTATATAAGAGACTGCAAGATTTTCTTTGTACGATACTTTATGATCTTGATCATAAGTATTTAACTTAAAATATATAAGACTTAAGGAAGGATAGTAGAATTTGTGACACTAGGAATGGCTCTTGTCTTGTATAAACAACAACTTTTGATTTAACTTTTTAAATGTTTATTAAAATTTAATTATAGTTCATGAGAAAGTGTTATAATGTGATATAAAGATTGGCTGCAGTAGTAAAATTTACTCGGAGTTCTCGCTAAGCATTATTTCTTTTTCTTTTTGACTATTATCCCCTCTTTAATTGCCGCGATCCTCCGTGCCGTGCGCAGCACTGCAGTCGCCTAATGCTCGAAAGTCTATATACTTCTTATTCTAAACGTTTATCGGTTAGTTAGCATTAAGCTGCCAAGTTGCGCACCCAAGCTCGTTCCTCGCTCTTGACTAGACAGAATAATCAATTTTTACAACAATCACCAAGTTTTTAAAATGCTTTCCTTAAACAAGCAAAACATCACAGAAGTGTGGAGTTATAATTTAGTCCAGGCAATGAGGGATATGAGAGAACAAGTGCCAAGTACTGCGTTCTTGTCATTCGACACGGAGTTTCCTGGTGCTCTCAAACCAAGAACAAAGTGCATAGATGAATGGACTAACACAAACAGTACCGTTCGAGATTCAAGTCCGATTCAATTCGGCTTCACGTTTTACGGAGTGAATGGAGATGCGATCTTTTCAATTAACGCGTGACAAATAAACTTCAAGTTCGACGTTCTCAAAGACCAGTTTAATCCTGAAGGCATCGCATTTCTCCAAGAACATGGGTTTGATTTGGACCGACATCGTGACGAAGGAGTCAGCCACGAGCAGTTCAGGAGATTCTTTTTCAACAGCGGACTATTTTATTCCAGTATATGTTGGGTTACATTTTATGGCAACTTCGACTTGAATGAAAGTGTGTACAGATCAATGGTATGAAAACCCACAGTTTTTTGGAAGCTCTGTCACAATATTTTCCATGGACGATTGATGTAAAAGTGTTAATTGAACGAAATTACGTTCAAATGCGGTCAAAAAGACTTATTAAATTAGCCATTGAATTGAAAATTGACGTTGAAAATGTTGAACAAGCACATCACGCCGGCTTCGACGCTCAAGTAACTTTTGTTTGCTTTAATTATATTTGTCGCTATACAAGTTCATTACCATTACAATTTTATATTAGAGGTTAGAAATATCTCTTAAACTTGATTATTGCTCAAAATCATCTCATAATCCTGAAAAGCATAATAGATGTAGCATAACTAGCTACAATAACTGAAACAGCTTATGAATTTAAAAGAGCACAATGTTGCGTAAATTTTTCGGCGACATGAAGAAGTTTCATGAACAATTTAAAGGCGAAAACAGCTCCAAACGCCACCCTATTTCTGAGTCATCGTCGACTTCTACTATTCATATACTATTTGAATGGGTGCATGGACAAGTTTTGCATTGATCGAGAAACTGATTACACTCTACTTATGTAAATAGATTAAAGCAATTTAAAAATTCATTAGGTAATTGAATAATTCAAAAAGTCAACGACTCTGTAAATATGTAACTAAATTCAAGTAATTTTATAATTAAATTTTAATAAACATTTAAAGTTAAATCAAAAGTTGTTGTTTATACAGACAAGAACCATTCCTAGGGTCGCAAATTCTACTATCCTTCCTTAAGTCTTATATATTTTAAGTTTAATACTTATGATCAAGATCATAAAGTATCGTACAAAGAAAATCTTGCAATCTCTTATATTACATAACTTTCATGAACTCTATTCGCTTTTAACAATTATTTTGATCTATAAGAACATCTGATTTTTATTTTGTTTCATAATGCCATGTGTTATGAAGCCACTTCATAAACCACAATTGAACGCATTATTAATTATAGCTCATGCCAAATAGCTGGATTAAAACTATACAACAAATACATATAGTAGTTTCAACTATACCCAAGAAAAATATGAATTTAATGGCGATAATCTTATTCTGAACTCATTTGCTATAAAATTTGAAGAATTAACTAGGTGTAAAAATTGTTCCTGAAAACGATACGTCACTGATGAGCTCACTTTATTTAACATTTCCCGACGAATTTCTTGACAATGGCATACCCCATCAAATAAATATTTTAGATTTAATAAAAAATTATTGTAAAGATGCCCGGAAACAAACGTGCCAGAATTTTTTTATTAAATTCAGAGCACGAAGTAAGCAAAAATGTTTCAAAATATCCCAAGTTTTTATTGCTTGCATTAAAAAGATACTCGCCTTCAAATGAAAAATAAGATCATTCTAACTTATAAAAAAGAGATGGACCTAAAAGTGAAGCCAATCTATTCGGCCTCTGATTGGTCGACTGACTTTTGACTCGAGTCGAAACGTAATAAAGTGACATCTACGGTCATAATAGCAACTTTTTCGAAACTGACTGAAAGATGTACGCGCGCGAAGCGCGCCTGAAAGTTGCTAACCTCAAAACACAAATAAAAAAATTGATACGCGCGTCTTAAACGTCTAGTTAGTAAACATTTTTCATTGTATAGATTTACATGACATCAAGTGAGGAAATATTTATATTTTTTTGTTCATTTTTAAAGTTATCGATTGCTCATGTTATATTTCATTTTGTTTTACTTTTAGATCCTCCGAATTTTCAACTTTGACCGATGCAATGTATAAATTAAAAAGTTTTATTTGTCACGAAGGTCGTCAGTATCTAGTGGACATTACACCTGTAATATAAAATTGAAGAATACATGGTTCCACGTAAACGATGATATAATCTATCAGGAACCAAATGAAATTTTTTTTAAAAATGAACGTATAAAAAAAGAAGTTTACTTCATTGTATATGAACAATGTTAATAATTAAAAAATTATTGTCAAAGATTTCTGATTTTTTAGTAAACAAAAAAATTAAATTATTTATGAAAATTATTTATGAAAATTATTTGTACTGATATTTTACTTCCTAAACTTCACACTTCACGCTGTTCAAATCATTCGCCAATAGTTATGTTGGCACTACCATGCAGTGTCGATAAAGAAGTGACAGAGCAGACGCTTGCACGCTCTTCACAACCCTGCACACGTGCGATACGCGATGCCTCCGACGCAAGGTGGACGATGCCACACGAGTCGCGATGAAAAACGAGACGTGACGCCGATCCGCCTCGCGTGTGACGAGTCGAAACGAAGCCGATTCACGCCAATAGACAACACGCGCGAGCGCAAGCAAAATGGCGTCTCCCGACGCGGCACGACACTAAGCAATAGACGCGAATACCACACACACAATCACGCGAATACGCACATACGTAACCGACCAAGCTACTGATTACTTAATAAGATTATCTTAAATTACTTGATGATGCTCTTCGTTCTTCGACTTCTCGATGGTGAACGGCAGCTTCACGCCTCTGCAGCAGCACGACAATCTTCGCCGAGCGAATATAACCTCGCTGTCAGCCGCGACACTATGTCTCTCGCACTCTTTTCTCGCCGGTAGATCTCGGACGAAGCGAGCACTTGCCTTCTCTTGGCTATACAGCGATCCACGCGGGCTTGACTTGCCCTTGCAAATCAAGTGCAGGCGTCGATACTCGTCTCACTCGATTGCAGCTCACGGTCTGCACGTGCTTGCCTCAGGCACTTTGAATTGCACACGTAACTTCAATACTCTCGATCTTGGTCGCGAGTTAACCTATTGAATCTTTGCGTTTTGCACGATCCCCCTGCTCGATACGAGGACTCGCGGGTTACTCTCTATTTCGCGTCTGCTTCTTCTTCTTCTTTTCCTTAATGGCCTTAGAATCTTCGTGTAAGAGATCACCGGTCTGCCACATTACACGCTTGGTTTCACATATATTATTATTACTACTTTACTTTAATTTTACTTTATATTATTTGACTGCAGGTGGTGTTACTTGCTAAAAGAAGCAGTATATTTTGATCAATGAATCGTCTGCTGTTTCAATGAGACGTTTGATGTTTTGTCGATGGGCTGCGTAGGGATCGAGTGTGGAGATGATAATTTATTATTTATGTATTTGTTTTATTAATTGATTAATAAATGTGTTTGTTTATTGATTTATTTTTATTATTTTATTTTTTATTTTTAGATGTTCAGTTTACATTTTTTTAGGAAGTCTGTGATGAATTTAGCTGCTCGTTCTGTGGGGTGTTTTAAGATCTAAAAAGTTGATGTGAGTATTTGAGATTTGTTTTTTTGTGAGTAATGTTTTAATTGGGCCATTAGTGATATCCTCTCCCTCGCGAATCTAGGTCAGGAGAAGACAACGTGGTCGATATCCGCCCCACAGGTGCATGAGGGAGAATCCTTCATGTTCTTTCTGTGTAAGCTTTCGGTTAGAGAGTAATGATTAGCACGAATTCTGTTTATGGTTGTGATGTGATATCTTGGGTGGTTGTGGTGAGCGTACCAAGGTTTTGAAGAATTTGGTGAGAAGAAGTTGTCAAAGTAAAGAGTGCCTTTGAATTGAGCTTCACGAAGAAGTCTGAGATTAGTAGTGGCCTTTGTGGTTTTCTGACAGGTGATTATGAAAATCTGTATAAAAGAGTTTTAAGGGGAGGGGTGAACCAGCCCTAATGGCTCTTTTAGCTAAATTGTCAACTTCTTCGTTATATAGGATACCAAGGTGGGGGGTATCCATACTAGGTTGATTTCTTGATTGTTTTGTGCAAGGGTGTGATATATTTATAAGGTGTCTATGATAATTGGAGAGGTATTTAATTTTTTGATTGGAGAGTAGTTTTGGATGGCTTCAAGTGAGTTTTTAGAGTCAGTGAAGATTTCGCGTCTGCTCCGCTAGCCTGGCACGTGCCTGTCAGCACTCGCGAGATGGCGGCAGGTGGTCTACTTTTGCACACCGTCGCATTTGATCTTCCGGTAACAGATTTATTTTACGAATTTAAGCAAATATGCTATAAAAATAATAATAGTTAATACGTGTCTCATTAAAAGCGGAGAGACCAAAGGAAGCGCGTACTTCCAAACTTTCTATAGAATCACGTAAAACGTAGTTCAATGATTTAAATATAACACAGAAAAGTAATTTCAACAATAAATAGAATAAGAAGCGGGTTCAATTGTACGAAAAGCCACTTACACAAAATAAAAATAAAAAATGACATCTTATGTAAATGTGAAAGACAAGAAGAAACTGTCGAACACATCTTCTGGCAGTGTCATTTACACGACGAACAGCGAGAAAAAATGCTCAAAAAACATAGAAAATTGCAGCCTTACGCTCCGTCATAGCTATAATAAGTCAAATCAACCAAAATGTAATTAATACGATCTCTGAATTCATTATTAATAGTGAACTCAATATTTGAGTTGTGTAGTAAGAAATGAAACAAACGCATTGTCAACGGCTGGTAAAACAGTTTCGAGCGAAAATATTTACTGATAATAACTTCATCAAATATTTATGTACAATTAATCTAATTTAAGCTTATATGCATATATACTAAATAACATTGTAAATTACACCGTCGCATTGTCGTGTCGCATCATGCTGCTGACTCGTGTTACCCGTTGTTGATCTTGATCTCAGCTCTGCTGCTTAGCTGAACTATTTCTTGTCCTGAAAGTACCTCAATATACATGCTACTCGCTTGGCCGGCACGGTATCTTATCGTCATTACGCTTTCCACGTGTAGCGCGTGTGACGGTTGCCTATCCGTAGGCGACGACTGTGACCCCCGTCACAACTTTTAACCCACGGAATATTCGTATCACGATGCAAGTTTTATTATTTATATTTGCATTTTCCAAATGTGAATCATTGGCATTTTTGTTGAATTGAATGACGTAAATAGTTAAAAATTCTTACAAAAATATTATTTTGATACAGCGTGCGGAAAGTTCGTTTTTCGCTATCAGTAGAATGCTTCGAAAGTAAAAGATCCCAGTGGTGTGGCTAAAGCGTGCGGAAAAACGAACTTTCCGCAGCTGTATCAAAATAGTTATTTATGCAACAAGTGCCCAAAAGGCGTTTTTGGGAACGAGTGCGCGGAAAAGGAAACGAGTGCCGGCCATGCTGGCACGAGTGGGTTTTTTTCTGCACACTTTGCGCAAAAAGCTGGACACGTGTTGCATACAAAATTTTATGCAATAGTAAGCGAAAAATACTTAATTTATACTTAATAATTACCACACACCAGTGTCAAAAACGCTTTTTGCGCACTAAAAAATGTGCGAAAATACATTTTTTATCACAGCGTGCGGGAAGTTTGATTTCTCGCACGCTCAGCCGTGCGGGAAGTACGTAATTCCCGAGCAGTACTGTAATAACGATACTTCTCGAAATTACATACTTCCCGCACGGCTGAGCGTGTGGGAAATAAAAACTTCCCGCAACTCGTGATAAAAAATAGTATACGTCATTCGTGCGCGTGGTGATTCTCGCCTGACGTAATGTACTATTTCGTCATACTATTGCATAAAATAGTATACTCAACTCGTGCGGAGTAGGTGATCTGCACTCACTGCGTAATCTACCATTTTCGTCCCTGCGGCCAAAACGAAAAAGTTAAGTTCTGCTGGAGGATTCATGAAAAATAGTATACGCGCGTATGAAGCGAAAATGAAAGCCTCAGAGCACCGGTTTATCAGTCTCGGCTTCGCCTCGGACGATAATTACACGTGCTCTGAGGCTTTCCAGTTTTCCACTTCCTAGGCACGTAATATATACTATTCTGCAACCGAGAACTTCTGAATCGTGAACGTCTATAAGTAAGATATAAACGCGAATATGTAAATGCGAACTAATGCTTTGATAAGCTTACACGAAATTATTGTGAGCCTCTCCTTTAGATTGGGCCAACATACGATTCGGCTTTCGCGTGTGTACGCATACACACGTGAGGAATACGTATACATTATACATATAGAGCAGTCGATACAGAAGCGATTAGGAATCATCGACAATCCAATTGAAGTATCTCTGGCTGGCGTGCACTCGTAAACATCTCGCCAAGCTCCAATGATCTTATGTACATAATAACGCGTACGGACGTGTGTATTCAGGAACGCTTACGTTGGCTCGCTCGCACATTTGCTCGAAATCCTGCTGAAACAGCTCCGTGGAGTATTGCTCGCACACGAGCATACACAGAACAGACATACACCGATCTGCTCTCACCTTCATATATATCTATTATATTTGCAAGTACAAATTTATGCCGGCAAATTTACGACGCTATAATGCACGCGAGCGCTCATAAATCGTACTTTGATAAATGTAAATTAATCACCGCGACGCATGCAAAATTTAGTACGAAGGTTTTTTTCCAAGGGTTTTTATTTTCTTTTTTTTCGAACGTGAGGGGGCGACGCGCGCGATATCTGCTATTCTTTAAAATGGCTCGTTATAACGAGGGCAAACATAATTTCTCGGCTGCGCAAACGTACGCTTGTACGAAATTCTCATTTAATTGTAATCAGGGAGAGCTTTAAAAGATGCTTTTAAAAGTAAACGATCGGATGCGCTGAGCGTACGCTAAAAAAATGAAGGGTTCATCAATGCTCATGCTCTCGAGAGCTCGAAGCTCTTTACTTGAAAGCTTTTAAAAAAGTGCAATCGCAGCTGAAAAATTCAAATAACCTTTTTTTTTGCAGTGTAAGGAACGCATATAAACAAGTCGGTAGCATTTTTTTAAAAATGTTTCTTTTTAAAATAACTAAAAGTTTGCCCGAAGATCAATTCATCACTCGGCCCGACGGCTTTGTAACGTTCTCCATCATCGTTGCAACATCGGCGTGCGACGACCATTCGAAACAGCAAAAACATCGAAGGTTACGCTGCGAGCTTAAATGAAAATGTCGAGTCGTCATGACCGAGAGAGAGATAGAGGGAAAGAGAGAAAATAAAGTAAAAAAAAAAAACACGCGGTGAAAAGTGTTTTTGACGCTGTCGAGAGCCAGGGCTAAGCGTATAAGTCACGCGACCATAAGCGATAAGGCAGTATGCTCGAAGAGTAAAGCACTTTTTCAGAGAACGAGAAGGAACGAGTCTTGATGGAGCTTTTCATTTCCCAGTTCGTGTATATCCACATACACACACATACGTACAGGAGCGTCGACATGACGAGATGATGAAGATTCATTTGGGAACTGTATAACACGGAATGGCAGACATAGTAGACTACTACTGGCGCTACTGCACTGTTGCGGGGGTGCAAAAGAATTAACGCTGACAGATACTCTCCCTCGGCAACCTCTCTCTCTTCGAGTTTAATTTTTACTCTTTTCCTCCGATGCATCGTTTTTTTTTGCCAAGCGCCCAGAGCAAACGTCAACACGAGGCTATAAGGTATTTACTCGGAGGGTATATAGCTCGAAGTTATCATAGGAAGAAAATAGAGTATACAGAGAGAGACAGCTGGGCTGGTGACAAATATGGCTAAGCTTCATCCCGTGCCGACTGTAAAGGATTAAAGTATTGAGAGATTTTACCATTTTCCTGGGCTCTGGATACTTTTGGGGCGAGCTGGTTGACGCTCGCGAGACTAGTTTACATAACAGCAAGAGCACACTTCGGTTCACCGGGCGGCTATGCGGATTTTCGCCAAGAGGCAAAAAATAATTGCAAAAAGAGAATTATTCGCGGGTGGGAAAAAATATGAAATTGAAAGGCATAAAGCCGTTTGACTTCGATTCAAGCTCACAATTATCCTATTAAATTATTTCATTTGAATGACACGAATCGAGGGCTAGAACATTTCTTTTCTCTTCACTCTTAGACGAGGGTAATTCGGGGACGATGAAAAAAAGCCACGAGCAAAATTAATGCAACAGATTAAAGAATACACGGCAATTCTGCGGTAATTAAATCCCACGAGAAAATGACCAATATTAATTTTCAGACTAACGCTGACAAGCGCAGGAAGGAAGGAGAGGGAGGGGGCGGGAGAAGGAGGAGGACACTAAAGTTGCCGGTCATCGTTTGATAAACGCGACACCAACACTGCAATATCGATGTGCAGGATTGCCGCTCTAAACTGCAACGCAAATCGAAGGGAGGATAGGGGGAAGGACGGNGAGAGAAATCACGCCGAGTCGAAAAAGTGATATATCCAGTCACTGGTTGCAGCTCGCACTATATACAACCTACTTTACATCATTAATCTAAGCGCGGGGCGGTGCATGCGAGGCTTTCGCAAAGCGCCGGCTCTCTCGAGCCTTAATGAAACTCGAGGCAGAAAGTTTTCACTTTAAAATTTGGCCCCCGCACTACAGTGGATGGATGTGTATATACATATAACAACTGGTTACGCGTGTAAGACGTGTAAATTTCGCAACGATGAAGTTTGCGCGTAGTTCTCGGCCTCGTCGGTGGCAGTTTTAACATATACATAGGTTGCAGGATAAGTTTCCGCCAAGTTCTCGTGCCTCGCACTCGTACATTTTGAGAAAATTACACGCTAATTCATCGATTCGGCCGCGCTGTATATAGTACAGTTATAGCTGCGTACAACACGAGCTAACACGGAGGGTGCGAAATTTGCGAATGCATCACGCGAAGCATAATAGGAAGCACATCGGGAGTGCGCCTGCGAAACAAATGCAGCAGTGCAAAGAGCGATCGACTCGAGCTGCACACATAGGCCGTACATATCCGTGCGCGCGAGAGAGTGAGAGAGAGAGTAAGAGAGGCTGCTGCAGGCAAAATCGAACGAGGCGCGAGCTTGCAGAGAAGTATAGGCTCGCGCGATCGAACCCGAGAGCCAGGCTCGGCTCATTAAGGCCAGAATAAGAAGAGACGATCGTAATAGAAAAGTCAGTTATGTCTCGCTGCATACGGAGCAGTCGTATAAACATTAGCAGCAGCAGGAACAACAAAGCAGCAATGCACGAGTATCTACATGCAGCAGCAGCGTGTTCGTTGTTCAGTGCGAAAATTCTCGCGTCTGCGCTTTGAAGGCAGAGCGGGCGCGTTCGAACTCGCACCGCACCCACACACATTCGCGATTCGTAGTACATACGATGTATCGAAGACATGTGTGCGCGGAGCCGCACAAGCGCACACGGACGGAAAAACCCGGCGCTTTTCCAGCTCTGCCAGCAGCAGTCGATCGTGTTGGTGTACTATAAACGTCGGTATATACGCCTGGGGTATACAACGGAATAGTATGTGTATATATAGGTGGGCTCGGCGCGTGTGCCGCGGCGCCATCGGGAAGGCGAGCCAAGCTCGACGGCAGCAGCAGCAGCAGAGCAAGCGAGACGACCGACCGACCGACCGAGAGAAGAGGTAGGGAGGCATACACTAGGAGCGCGCGCGCGGCAGCTCTCCCGACTCCGTTACGTGTACGTCAGAGCGAAGCGGCGCAGCAGCAGCAACGGCAGCATGGCGTTAGAGACCCACTACTGCTATACTATATGTACGACTCTCTGACTGTGTATGCGTCGGTGTATGTGTATGCGCGAGAGTCGAGTTAGGAGTAGGTATCTCGCCTATCTATATACACTGCAGCAGCAGCGGAGCAGCAGATGATGATCGGCGAAGCGTTTCGCATTCGCGCAGAGAGTAAGGCAGTAGTAGTCGGGTCTCGGCCGCCGTCAACGTCGACGGCGCGCTCCTCTCCGCATTATTACAATATATACGTATAGGCAGCAACTCGCTCGTTTCTCTCTCTCTTTCTCGTCGTATGTAGAATAATAAAATAAAGCACGCGCCCGCATATATAAGCCCAGCATGTATACACAAAGAGACTACAGACTGACTGACTGACCGAGCTTTGCTCGTAGTCGTCTTCGTCGTCGTCGTTTGGCTTTGTACAGTAGTTGATCGTCGCGTTTGTTTGTGTCTGCGCAAAGTGTATCTCTCTCCTCGTTCAGGTGTGTCGTCGTCGTCGTCGTTCCCCCTTCCCTCCTCACCCCGCCTCCCTCTCATCTCTCGACCGACCCCCTTTGTGTGCTTCGAAATTTAATGATAAATAACTGCTGCTACGAGCCTAGCTGTTCTGGGCCAGCGTCGAAGATTTTCTCAGACTGACAACTGCTCTGGACTCATCCTCGCTTCTGCAAGCGTATACAGCAGCAGCATCAGTAGTAGTAGTAGTGGTGCTGCAGGCTCCACATGTGCGCGCTCCGACTCCGACTTATCGGACGACGTTAGTTTGACTGTGTCTCCCTCGCTACTCGGTGTATTATTATTTTATTGTATACATTCGTGTGTCAGTGTGTACTACATGTGATGATGATGATGATGATAGCATAAGTAGGTGCACTATACCGTCTCTGTACATGCCTACCGAAGAGAACACGAGAAGCGAGTAGCGCGCGCCCGAACATCTACGCTGCTAACCTCTTTCACCTCCTATCTATGCATCCGCGCCTCCAGCCCGACGAGTAGCTACAACTGCTACTACTACTGCTACTGGCACTACTACTACTCGTCTTCGATCTGTGTGCGTCGACGTCGACGCGAGGCTCTTTTTCTTCGGGCGCTTTTCGCTCTCTTCCGCGCGCTCACTCATTAGCGACTGCTATCGCGTGTGTACTGTGCGTATACTCTGTGCCGAGTCGCTGCTATATACTACCTGCTGTACGCACACACACACACACATTTACAGACTCAACAAACGCGCCTACCTGTGTGTACCGTCTATAGCTGCAGCCACTGCAAAACAAAGCAGAAGCAAAAGCAGCAGCAGCAGTCGCTGTTCGTGTAGATATTATTATATCCGTGCGCGCTGCTGAGCGGCGACGGCGGCGGTGGCGGCGGAGGGGTTGCGCCTCTCTGGCCGAAGCCGAAGCGAGGAAGGGGTGGCGGACTTTACTACTACTGCGCTGCCGCCTCTGTTATCCCCCGTTATAGCATAGTGCTATCCGTGTCTGTGCGCCAGTGTGAGTGCTGGTGCGACGGTGGTGGTATGCGCGCAGCACGTGCATCACCAGCAGCAGCTATTCAGCTGGCCCTCGGGAGGTCACCTGCGGCCGCCACCGACGGCACCGACAGCCGAATCATCAGCGGCAACAGAAGCAGCAGCCTCTGCTCGTCTCGGCCGATCCTATTCGCCGATAGTCGCCGCGCGGCCGTTGTTGCTCGCGTTCGAATTATCGCAACGTTCTAATACCTACCTACTTGTCACCGTTCAAACTAACGCTAACGAGATAATTGCGGCGAGCGGTATGTAAGCGCAAGTTTATACGCCGCGCCAGTGTCAAGGAGGCCGTGCAGTTTTATTACTACTACTAGCACCAGCAACGATGATGTGTTAGTTAACCGTCGTTCGGTTTACACAGTGCAGTTTGAGTTTTCCTTCGTTGCGTCGTTATATATAATTGTAAAAGTCAAGATCGAACGCTGACCCTGAACTCTCTGGACGTGCGTGCCCGTGTGTGTGATATAGATATATATATTTGTATGTGTATTTGTGTGGTGCACCCGCGTGCTCGTGTGGATTATCGTCAAAACTCGAGCAACGAGATCGACGTTGTTGAGCAGCGGCGCGAGTGGTCGCAATTTCGAAACCTCGACTCTCACTCGCGGTGTGGTGATATGGGCGAGCCAGCCTCCTCGTGGACAGATGCAGTCGTCGTCGCCACCGCCGTCGCATCGGCACGCGACCAGCAGCTGGACTAGGAGGAGTCGCATCGGCACGCGACCAGCAGCTGGACTAGGAGGAGCATCATCGGCAGCCGGTAGCAGGCCTCGACGGGGATGACCCGACGACTGCTTCTTAGCGCACTGCTGCATCATCAGCCTCCGCTTCGTTGTCCGTCGTGTCGTCGTTCTCGTTCTTGTTTCTGTTCTTGTCGTCGTCGACGCCGTCGTAATCTACGAATCGCTGATGCTATTTATATCAGCCACAACATTATCCACGGTACGTCTGTGTTTTTAATCTTCTGTTTTTCTCTTCTCCCTTCCCGCCGTTTTTTTTTACTCCACATATACTCCTGTTCTCTGTAATGTATAGCGAGGCTCTATGTCTCGTTGACTTTTTTCCTCTCCGTGTATACGATACATTGTATGTGTTTCTGCGTGCGTGTGTGTCAGTCAGTGTGGAAAAAAAGCAAGAACCCAACCCATGTTTACCTCCGTAAGTTTGCTGTCGTCCTGTGCTCTTTTTTATTTATACTCGCCACACTGCGCGATAGATACAAGCAGCCGTTGACACACATTGACATAATACAAAAGCGCGCGCGAAGACGTCGTTGGTGCACGCGGAAGGGGGGGAGGCGGCGAGAGAGACGAGGCAGCGCTTGATTAAACAAGCCGCAGACCCTGAACCCTAACTACACGGCCTATAGCCACAGCAACTACCTTTATAATAGGCCTATCTGTCTCTCTCGCGCTTTTTTACTCTCTTTCTCTCACACACACGCACCACCCCACACCCACACGCCATTCTCTATATTTATATATTTAATGGTCAGAAAAACCTTGAGAATAAGTTGAGGCGGCTTTCCTTTATATCCGCGCTAGCGACCTTTCGCGCCTTTTTTCGACGTTCGAACGCAACGTGTTTTTTTCTTTTAAATAAAATATGTGTTTGTGCAATAATACGTGGAAAACAGACATAACACTCGCATACAAGTGCATCGCGAACACTTGAGTCGCGTTTTCTCCAAAAATGCTGTATCTCTGTCTTCTTTCTCTCTTGTTGCTCTTTCGCACGAATTTCTCGTCTTCTTGTGACTTGAGTGTATCTGTGTATGCGTAGACATAAATCTAGATATACACAGACTTATGCGTGGTTTTTTTTCGTATACCTAATGTGTAGTATCGTAAATATATACGTACATAAAATATACAAAGTTATTGTACATAAAATACACTCTCTCTGCCGTATGATGTATTCTGTAATCTGTCTATTCTTATTTCTTTCCTTCGATGTAAAATATGTAAAAACGCACTAGAGTCAAGGTGTTTTATTGTGTTGCCTTCTTCTCTCCACGTTATCAGCGCGGTATTTTAAATCATCAAAAAGCCTCTCTTCTCTTACACCTCTTTGTCGCTCGAACATCAAATATAACTTCATTCATATTGTACATACACGCGACGCATACATCATTGACGTAACTCCGGAGGATTGCATTATATGGATACGTCTATTAATAGGCCCTGGTATTGCATATGATGAATTTACAATCTTGTATTACGCTAAACGCGCAACGGCATTTGCGTATATATTTTCAAAGCACGAGCCCGGAGAGATGAAGTGCTGCGCGACAATATATGAGAGTACCTACTTATCAATAATGTCACGTCAAAATAAACAATAAGCGTTCGTCCTCTCTCGACGTCGTTCGTAAATATTCTAGAATCCAGCGAAGCGATTCGTATGCACTTATTTGTACCATTTCGCGTCAAATTTTTTTTTTTTACAAACCAAAGGTCTGAAAAGGAACCTTTCCTTTTATATTTTGGTCGAAACTGCAAACGTCCTTAAATTGGTAATTCGTATGTGAAAAACGGCGTATCAACAACCCGTGCATGGATTCATACGAAAGTCGCTGAAATTGTGTATAAAGAACGAAAACCGTGAACATTTTCTGACTTTTTGCCCCCTGTGTGCATTAATACGAAATAAAGATATAAAATACGCGAGCGGCTGAACGCGTATGAGAGCTACACATCAATTTTGCGCAAAAAAGGAAATTGAATTTTTTATTATTTAGAAAGAACATTTCTCCCCTTTCCCGCATTTTATCAATACTTTTAAGTAATTTTTTTTGGTCGGTCGAGAAAAAAGAGCCTGCAGGAGAGATGCTACGTGTGCTCAATATATGGCCATTATAGTACATCGGCGCATTGTTAGGTAACCGTGGGAAAGATTCATCTTGCTTCGTTGAAAAATAAAAAAAACGACGTAACAAACTCGTCTAGATGCTGTTTTTGTTTTTATTTTATTTTTCGAATTTCGTGTAGTTAATTGCCAGACCCGAGTTTTTCTTCCTTTTTCCATGCAATATCTCTGTCTCGTAAGGATTTCTTTTTTAGGCAAAAATATACGTCTATTGTACACACTTTTTGACTTCACTCGAACATTCAAAAAAGCAATTCTTTTTCACGTCACTCTGACAAAAAAGAATCTAGTATTTTCCTGTTCGAACAATTTTTTTTTTAATTCCACTCTCTCTAGCTAAATTTTTTAATAAAAAAATTACACCAATATGCATATCGAAAATCGCTGTCAATCAACGGTCACTAATCGGAGTCAAATTTCAAGTCCAAAGCACCTCGAAACGCTTTTTGTGCCCGTTGCGCGAAAAAAAAATTTGAATAGACGATGCTGCCGCGTGCGAAACCGCGAATATCAAAAGCAAATATATACATGCGATTTGTGGGTGTGTCTATGCGTGCGTGTGTATGAATGCACGTACGTACTTTCACGCATTTCTGCATAAAGCTCGAAAAAAATTCCAATCACCGATACATATTCGGTCGATGGTAGCAGAGAACACAACGCAGTTACCAGAATTACGCCGTATATGGAAGAGGACGAGCATAGAGAGGAGGCTGGCTATATGCGTTTCGAATGCGTATATATATATCCGGCCCCGGTTATTTGAAATCCAAACATATTTTGCCTACGTATAAGCAGAAGTATAACATATGTGTGTTTGGAATACATCTATACATAAAGCCAGCTCGAGCGAGCGTATGTATGCATGCATGCATGCATGTATGTATGTATACAGCCGCGAGCGTTGAAACTGCTGCCACGCCGAGTTCTGTACATAGGTATATATACGCGTGCATCTATACCTATGTAGGTGCAGGTACACATATCGATGTCTCACGCGTATATCGAGTGTTGTTTTTTCCTTTGTGCGTTCAATTTACATATGCACTAGTAAAACAAAGATAGCTGCGCATCGCAGGTCGTAGCTGCACGCGGCGCGGTGGCAACTGTTGGCAATTTCAGCTCGAACTGTCGTAAATTCGATTTTTTTTTCCCCACCATGACGTCGCACAGCTGCGGTTTTGCAGGAAAATTAGTTGACGAGAGCGCGCGAGCGAGAGAGACAGCCCCCGATCGATCTCGGAATTGCATTTCTCTTTCTCTGCGTGCGACGCGCGTGTCATGTCTTTATCATAATCCATAAAAGTCAGAAGCGCAAAAACAGCTGGCAGCTTGCGTGAGCTTTTTCCTACATAGCGTACATGCGCGCATTTGCGCAAGCTTTGGCATTTTCATAAGCGCTCGAGCTGTTTCTGCGACGTCAAATGAAATTGTTATCGTTCGTTTTGGTTCTCTATTTCTCTCTCTCTCTTTCTCTCCGTACCCGGACGCGCGTATCGAGCCGTGTATACGCGAAAGCTCAGGCGCTCATTCGGTACTCCGCAGCTGTTGCTGATGCCTGACGCCGCTGCCTGCTTGGGGTCAAAGACATTTTCCACGGTGTGTGTCATTGATGATATAGCAACGACGACTGCAGCACACGCAGCGGTGCGCCGCACTACACAACCGTGACAATATAGATATAGATAAGGCTTATGCTGCGGGACTTTATACTCCACGTTGGGTCGTAATGTATAAACGTCGTCGCGGTGGAGGTGGTGGTGGCTGCATTTTCACGCGTTCGCGAGTCTCGCATTGCCCCTTTCGAATATACACATAATATCCGCGTACATGCGTTATGATAAACTCGCTTTCGAACGTCCATTCTCGATACATAAATGCCTCTCTCTCTACTCTATATTCAAGCTCGTACAATATTACGACTTTAGCGTCGAATAAGGAAGTTTCCATTCCGCGTCACATTGGCTGCAGCTACGTGCACGCAGCTTTAGAGCACTATATCTATTAACTTGCTTAAAGCCAATGTATAGGCGAGATTACTGCGAGAAAATTATCTTTTTCAATGCAACAGTTTTGTCGTGTACGTAATACTATAACAACTCCTTTGCCCCCGAGCGACTTTGTTCCATTATAAACTGAAATCATATGTATTATTTTTCTTTACAATCTCTCTCTCTTTCTCCTCCTTTCTCGAATTTCGATAATAACTCTTGACAAGGTCGTGCGCGAGCTACAGTCGGAAGTTATATCAATGAAAAATAAACGATCTCGATGAAATTGAAAAACAAAATCTATCATATATAGATTTTATGTATCACATATGGGGATAAGCGACTTGCTGTCGTCATATACACTCCTACGTACATTATATATATCTATAATAAACGTATCGGAGGCTGTTGCGCGCCTTTATGATGGTGCTTAAAAACGCATGGACGCTATATGGAGCTTGCAAGCTCGCTCCTCTATCTATCTATCTATCGCGTGTTCGATAAAGCGAGCATAGGTGTACAGTAGTTTTTGCCTCGTCGCGCCGTCGTCAAAATGATTATCATAATATTCAGTGACGCGTACTATATACTGTATTAGGCGATGCATCTAACAGTTCGTGTGGTGCACGTATACGTATCTCGATGACGCCCTGATATTTTTCCACGGTTGCTCTCCTTGTACCTATATTATGCTCGCCCGCCAATCTCGAGCCATACGAATGTATTGGGTATTTTTCTGCTCATCTAATTGACCGAAGCGTTGATGCCGACGATGCTCGACAGCTGCGATCGCGACGCGCACTTCATTTGCTCTTATGTATGTATGCGGGCGTCGTCTGTCGGACGGCCGATCGAGTTGGCAATAAATCTGCTCTTTTCGAATCCGCTTTCTCTCCGTCTCTCTCTCGCTTGGCCAGTAGTCATAACACTGGACGCCGCAGTTGCGAGGTTTATGTGCGCATACGGGCGCCGTATGTGTATACAATACAGGCTCGAGCCGAGCTGATAACATCTTTAATAACAGAGCGCCGAAGCTCAACAATTCTTTTGTTCGCGAAAAAGCGCTGTTGGCGGCGCGATGCC